GTATTTTTAATGTCACCCATTTTTAAAAACTATATAGCTTAAGTCTGTAATTGTTAAAGAAACTGTTTTTGTTTTCAAAGCAGTTTATAAAGAAAATTCTCAGATACTGATTACAAAAGAATTGTAGAACTTAACACGAATATGCACAGGCAGGATCACATTTCGGATATGCACAGACAGGATCATATTTTTAAGCAGTTATGATTTCATTACAGGCAGAGCTGGTAGCAACCTCTGTAGAAAAAATTACCTGTTTCCAATATCTTAAGGCCCTGTCTTCAGTTACTTATAACATTTCTTAACTGTAACTCTTTTGGTTGAAATTTCCCATGCAATGCATCTGCCTAAGTGGTGAATTTTGTTTTTATGATTTCTGTTATAAAACAGTATAGCCATCTCATGAAACGGCCTTGAAGGAAAAAGTGATGTTTTGATTTCATTAGCTTCTTGCAAATATTTTGTTGAAAAGCTTTGGTGTCTTCATGCTTTTGTTCAGGAATTGAAATTTGACTGAAGAGTCATGGGGTTCTTTCGCTGTCCAGGTGAAAATCTGCCCAAACTTGAACCAACTAATAAACTTCTAAAACATATTTTTGCATATGCTTAGTAGAGCAAAGGGCCACAGAAGTGCCATACACCTCTAGAGGTGATATCTGGCAGTCTGGAAGTTGAGAAACAAGTGGTTTAAATGGGAGGCAAAGAATGAGGACCTGGGTGCAATAGGATAAAGTAAGAGAGAAGTTTGCAAGTGCAGTGGGGATGGAAGGGAGCAGAGAAGGAAAGGTGGAGTCATGAAGACTTGAGAGGCAGAGTTGAGTGCCAGTGTTGCCCTAATAACCAGGGGGTATCTGGTTCTCTTCCTAAATGGAGCAAGAGCAAACAGCAGAGCTGATATTGCCTTAAAATATGCTTCTTATCTCCAAATGAGAACCCATTTATTCCTTCCAAATGAGAACCCAGTTATCTTCTCCAAGCAAGGACCTATTCATTCCCTCCAAATGAGAAACCAATTAACTCTTTAATAAATCAGTTTTATTGAGCACTTTAAAGTATTAACTCCGAGCATTAAGTAATTGCATATTACCAGTCCTAATAATACACATCTCGAGTACTGCAGAGTGGGCACTGGTTCCTTGAAGGGAGATCAGATGTTTTCAGTTCTCAGGCATCATTAGGGTAAGGGAAAGGGTAGGAGAGAAGGGAAAAGCAGGTAATATTTACAGTCCTTTAGTCACGTAGCTACCAATTAGGCCAATTTTCTGTTTTTCATCGACAACTTGGTTTTGCCTGCTTTATCGTTGTTTCTCTCCTCTTCTTGGTACTAGGCTCCATTTGCTTCAGATATGGGTAGATTGCCATAACAAACCTTTTGATTCATAACGAGCATTTTTGTCATCAGACCTTTGCAGAAAAACAAGCTACATCAGAATTTTTTCTGTACAAAAACAGGTTCCACAATAACATAGCCTGTGGTGTATGCTAGCTCCACGAATGCACTCTAGCCCACTTATGTCCAGGTAACTAGGCCTCCTAGGTCTAAGGGACCCTTTCAGTCCTTTCAAGCATCAAGAGCCTGAACTGTCTCCATACCAGGAGGAGGCAGGAAACTAAAAGGGGATCAACAGCTGGAGAATAAGGCAGTGGATAGGTAACAAAGGGAGAGGGTAGGAAGCTTGGGGGTTGGCTGCGAGTGTAGGGGAAGATAATTATAAGGATGGAAAGGAATGAAGAGGGGCAGTAGAGGATGGCATCCTTATTGGAGGACAAGGGTGAAAGGATTTCTAGTCAAAAGAGGGACACTACTTTTCAAAAACTGGTATAGAAACCAGGCTTCCTGGGCATCGTTCCTTGACTGTAAGCAGATTTCTGTGAAACGCATTGAAAAAACATTTTTTAATCCATTTCCAGCTCAGTACATGGAAGGTAATGGTCTCCTACTTCTACCAGTTAGTCTGTTAACTTTCTGTAGTGGTGTCAAAACAGAATAAAGAAGTAGAGGCATACTAACTGGGTCACAGATGGATAAGGAGTAAGAGGGATAAAGGAAAATTGCAGAAGACTTGGGGACATTAGAGGAAGGGGAAGCAAGAGCCTGAGGGAGTGGAAGAGAACAGAGTAAAAGGAGGCTTGGGTGGAGGGTACAACATTATTGATAAGGTCTGTATCTGGATGTAAGGGTTTCAGTGCTGCTGATGGCCATGTGGGAGTCAGTGTGGATCTGCTTGGTGGAATTCCAGTGATTTCCTCAGTTTGCTTTTTGAAAAATGAACCTAACAACTTATCTTATAGAACAGGGGTATCAAACTCATCTGGCCCACAGGCTGAATGAGGGGCATAGGGCTGATCCATAGGTTGAATTGGGCCCCCTGGACCAGCCCCAGGCACCAGTTCTAGTGCACAGAGCCATGAGCAGCACATGCAGTGTGTGCTCTGGACCAGGTCCACATGCCACATGCAGTACACACTCCGGGCTGGACTTACATGCTGTGTGCAGCACCATAAATAGCTTCTCAGGCCTCAGAGCCAATGTGGCATGGGTGCCATATGCAGCAGCCATGCATGGGTGCCACATGGACCAGCCATGTGCACCACATGCAGTGACCTGGACTGGCCCCATGCACAGCATGCACACCACGTCCAGCCCTGCTGGTGATGCATACGCCAGCTCACTGAACTGCAGGTGCTCCATGTGGTGTGTAGGGCTGGTCTGAGACCCAGAGGTAGCACCATGGGCTGGATCTTTGACACGAGTGTTATAGACGGTTAACACTGCTGCATCAAGACCCATGCTTAAGTAACAGCTGAATTAAGATTGTCTGTGGATAAGTGGTCTTTATGCTGGTATTTCCTAACTGTTGAGAGCTTGAGTCTGCAACATGGAAGTTCTTGTAGAATATTTGTATATAATTCCCTCTACCTCCCTTCCTCTCTCTCTCTGAACTCACATACTGTGTAATAGAGAAAATAAGAATTAGAGTTGGCTCAACTTATTCAAAACGACCTGTGGACCCGCTTATAAGTGCCAGGCTTCATATCATGCTGCCATATATTGTTTGGCACATACCTAGACCAGGGGTGGATTAAGATTTATTGGCGCCCTGAGAGAACAGAAAATTGAAGGCCCCCACCAGGCAAGGGCAGGTTTCCTCTGCACCTGCCCGGGGGCTGTGGTTGGGTCTGCCCGGCCTCCTTGGTGCATCTGAGGTGAGCCAGGGGGCACGAGCACTGCTGAGGTGAAGGTGGCCCCAGCCCCTCTGCCCAGTGGGTGTTGCACATCCACAGCTGTAGTCCCCCAGTGCTGTGGGATAGGCTAGGGCTGGGGCTGGGTTGGGGAGGGGACATGAACACCGGCCCCAGATACTCACCTGCCCCTCTGCCCGCCCCTTTGCTGGGCTGGGTGGGGTGGGGCTGTTCTGCCCTATCCTAGCGGCTTGCCGCAGGGAGCAGGAGCGGGGCTGTCTGCTGCCCATGGTGCCTCCTGGCAGCAGACTGCCCTAGGAAGCCGCCACTGCCCACAAGGGAGCCCCATGCCTGCCCCAGCCCTGGCCTGGCGAGAAGGGAGGAGGCACACGCTGCCCATCCTGGATGCCCATGGCTAGGATGCCTGCCTGGGCCGTGCTGCCCCCGGCGCCCCAGGGGCCCATGATTGGCTGGAGCCTCTGGGCCCAGGCCCCGTGGTCTTGTGTGTTAATCTGCCCCTGTCCTAGACAAAAATGTATTTTTAGAAACATTATAAGAAAATATCAAAAGCTGCTTCTTTGAGTGGTCTCTACTTTTCCTTGGTTCCACCAACCCGTGCAATTAGACCAGGATATTTTCTCAAAGCCTGAAGTATAAAACTCAAGTGAACCATGACCATAAGGTTAATGGATTTTCATCAGCTGAATTTTAAAAGTGTAGCAACTAAAAAGCAAAATGATTGGAGCACTCAGACCCTTTTTCCTCTTTTCTTAGCCTTCCTAAATATTTAGAAGGTGATATTAGAAAATAAATCATAGACTCATAGAGAATTCAGGCTGGAAGGGACCTCAAGAGGTCATCTAGTCCAACCCTCCCTTTTGACTCCTTCCTGCAAGCAGCAAAGCCCAGAAGCATGGGAAAAATTTATAGTAAAACACAGGCATGGCTACGCGTAGATCATCCCCAACCAGTGGCTGTCCGATCTATTCTTGAATACCTACAGTGATGGAGTCCACAACTTTCCTGGGAAGTCTGTCCCAGTGTCTCACTCTAAAAGTGAAGAAGTTTTTTCTGATTCACAGTTTGAACCCACTTTACTGCAACTTGAAGCCATTGGTCCATGTCCCAATCTCTGCAGCAAGAGGGAAAAGGTGTTTTCCCTTTTCTTTGTGGCAGCCCTGAAAGCATATGAAGGTGTTCGCTGTTGAACAGCTTCCTTCCAAGGCAGATGTTTACTTCTGTGATTCTGGAGCTGCAATTTTGACAAGGCTCTGAGAGCCACTCTAATAAAAGTGCTGCTGTGTCTCACATATTAGTGTCCTGTGCTTAGAAGTGGCAGTGGGGGTACTTGAACTAAAGTTTGTTCTGCGAGCTTTCGGTCAAGTACCCCCATTGCCATTTATAAGTGTGGGGATGGTGATACACAAGGTGCAGGAGGCTGCTGGAGCAGGACAATTCCTCTGTTTCAGCTGGAGTGCCAGTGCATCAGAGCAGCCTCTGCACTCAAGTATAGGTGCCCCTTGCTTTTGGTGAAGATAGTTGATTAGAAAATCAAATCTCCTGATGCCTAATTTTTGGTTGATGAAATAGCTATAGCAAAGTAAATTTAAATTACTAGGCCAATCACTAGACATCTTTTATGTCTTTTTCACAAATGCGGATTATAGCATTTATTCCTTACTATAAAATGTTTTTAGGAATACTAAGTGCCTTTGGAGACAAAATTGTGAAGGGGTAGCAAGTTCCTCCTTGGAGGCAAAAGGGCAAGAACAAAAGTAGTACAAGGTGCTTTAACAAGCTATTGAATAACTTCCTTTTAGGCAATCCAGCTGAGCCGTGATGGACAGTACCTGCTTACAGGAGGAGACAATGGAGTTGTCATGGTATGGCAAGTTTGGGACCTCAAGCAACTTTTTGCGTACCCAGGATGTGATGCTGGCATCCGATCTATGGCCCTGTCATATGACCAAAGGTGAGATTGAAATTTGATTAGAAGAACTTCATAGAGAGATTTATTAGAATGAAACAGCGTAAGAAATGCCATGAAAGTGTAAACAAAAAGGTTTTCTCTGTTGTATTATCCTTTGTTCAGAGGTGATTGTATGGAGAATTCAATGCACTATTCTGTTGTGGTTACAGGTTAGAGTTGTTGTTCTTTTCTAGTGTTGCAGCTCTTTGTGGGGAAGTGAACACTCATTCAAGAGTTTGACTGGCAAACTTTTATTGTTGCTCAAATTCTGGGCCTGTGAATATACAGTATAAAATAGATGGAAGTAGAAATTACATAGTTCCTTTCTGGGTTGGTTTTCCCTACCTTAGAAATAAAAAAAAGAAATCCCTAAATGTAGGTCTTCAAAGCCAACACAAATAAAAACAGTGAGACACAAGGTTCCCATCACACTTTTTTTCATTGAGGCAAATACTGAATTCCATTTGTAGAGCTCTTACTTATTATTTCCATATAAGACATGAAATTTCTGAAGACTTTTCCAAGGGATAAACAGTAAATATTTTTCTTGTTGCCTGTGTCACTTGCCAATACTGCTACAGTTTAGAGTCTGCATTTTTGGCACAAAACATCAGTTTACAAGTTGGATATTTGGAATTGCCTCTAGCTAGCAATTATCCTATATACTATCATCTAGAAGTAGAAATTGTGGAAACAATTTTCAAAAGAACCCAAGGCTTTTAAGAGCTAAATGCAGCTGAAAGTCATTTAGCAGCCGATGTAGTTTTCACATGGAACTTGGGCTCCTGAATCACATAGGAATAAAAGTGCTCCTAGGTAGAAATGAAAAGGAGAACTTTTACAATCACTGCTCTCTCCTATGCCTCATGAAGGGTGTGTGCACCCAGAAGCTTGAAAATAAATAATTTGTTTGCAAATATCTAGTTGGTCTAATAAAAGATATTACCTCTTCCATGAGTTTTGATTCCTTTTGACTCGAGACCAATATGGCTACAACCTGGATACCTGAATCACATAGGTGTTTTTTAAAATGTTAACTTCTTTCTAAAAATGTATTGGCATCACCGTTCTATGTGGCAGCAATGGTTTCTTTCTGTGTGCCCAGAACAATAGGCCCTAATCTTAAGTGAGTCCCCAACCTGCTACCTTTATCAAAATAATAAGTATTGTTATTGATGGACAAAATACACTGCTTGTATAAATTGGTATAGATCCACTGATGTCAGTGGACTTTGACCTATTTATGCAACTAGAGAACAGAGATCAATTATTAATTAAAACAAGTAACTATCTTGTGTTCTTAAAGAAAACATGAACTGAAATTGTAATTGCGGATAAAATATCTGTTTAATCTGAAATGTTGAGGAAAAAAGAAGAGGAACGTTGCCTTAATATGGATTCAGGAATTTATCTTTAAGCATTATTTTTGTTAAAAAATTGCCTGTTCTTATAGTAAGTATGGAACACACAACATGTAGCAATCTTAATATTAGATACACTTCAAAATGTTTTGTAAAATCTGCTTTAAAAAAATCTAGTGATATTTTTGGACCTTAACCAGATTGAACCCGGTACTTCCTTCCCATCCAAGACACCACCACCCTTCTCACTCTCCCCAAACCTTTCATCTGATGCTGTCATTCTCCCTTCTTCATTGTAAGTGTTCCCATAAGCAGCCATTCCAGAAAACCTTAGTTTTCTAGATATTAAAATGACTTTCAGTGTCACTTTTGGCTGGACCCCTATTCTATTGAGGGAACCCTATACAGGGATCAGTGTGTCTTCGCTTGGATTGACCTGTCAAATCATTTTTATGACATAATGTATCATTTATCATAATTAAAGCTGTTAGATTTTTTTTAAAGTAGTGTCAGCGAAATGAAAATGTTTCACTGGGTGTTGTTTATTTTCAAACATTTTAGATTTTGTTTTTACTGCAGCTTTAATATTGTGTTTATTTGTGTTACTGTGGCATCTATGAACCATATTAAGAGACCTGCAGCCCAGTATCGTAGGGGGCTACATAAACACAGCACAAAATATTTAACATTTCTCTCTCTCTTTTTCTCAGTGTGTGTGCACATGTGTAAAATGTTGGTTATAAATGTCTGAACAAAACTAATAAAAAACGCATTTAAAATGAACATTTTTTACTTTAGCAAAATGGAAGATTGGAAAATCTTTCCATTCTAAATTAGATCTATTTTTTGAAAGAAGTCAGAACTTTTCACAGAATAGACATTTTGATGTCTAGCTAGCTCTAATAATAATAATAATATCTTTGTAATTTGAGAAGATAGATAAGATGACACAAAATTTCCTGATATACTGTGTTTCACAATAGGATAGCATTTTAGCAACTGAGACTGCTAAACTGTGGTCATGAATGAGATCATGGCTCTTTAAATGGTCATAAAGACATGCTAGTAGTCAGCCAGTGGTTAGGATATGGAGTACAGAACACCTCACTAGTGGATTGCATTAATAATAATATCTAAAACGCTAATTGCCAAATAAAAGCCCATTCCGGCTGACTGATAATATTACAGGCAATGAGAAAAAAAACTACAGGAGTTGTGGTCCTGCTCCTTCCTCAGGTAGGTCATTTGCCAATTCCCATTTCTTGGACTGGGAAGAGTGAATTGAAATACACTTACCTGCCTCTTGGTTCTTGCATCCCCCTCCATTCTGATGTTTTACTAGCACTATCTCCAGCACAGCAAAAATATATAAAAAAAAAATCAGTAGTCATTGGATGGAGCAACTGTTTCATAAAGGGTCATGTGCTCTTATCACTTGAGGACCTTCTGGTGTCAGTCCTACCCCTAAGATGTTCCTAGATAAGTCTGTGCACTTGATCCTCTCTGATTCACATCTATGGGACCAGAATATGAACAAAACATTTTCCAAGAGTGGTTACTCATCTGAGTTGACTCATTTTTTTGCGGGGGTCCACGTGAGAGCCCAGGAGGGCCTGATTTACCTGCAGCTCCAGTTAATATTTTTATATTTTAGGTCTTCATAGGGCTTTGGCTTAGGTCCTTAATGGCTACATTGGCAGGGTTTTTTTCTGGATATTTTAGTTAACAAGGTGGTTATAGAGGTAGTAGAAGAAAAGTCTCTTGTCTTCTACCCTTCTTCCCATTCTTCTCCACCCTCCTCTTCCTCAAAAAAAATAATGCCAGCTTATTTGACTGTGACGTGATTAATTTTCAAACCTTTGCTTTTCATAGGTGCATAATGACGGGTATGGCTTCTGGAAGCATAGTGGTTTTCTACAATGATTTCAATCGCTGGCATCATGAATATCAAACAAGATACTGATGTTGAAACAGACCAAGACTAGCACTGACACAAGCAGCTGCTGAAACTGGACATACAAAGTCTCTATTCAGTATCCTGCTGTAGGATTGCTCATTATAAATAGCTATATTAGATCTGAATGTAACTTAAATTTGCTGGAAGAAGCAAACTATTTTTTAAAGTTAATTGCTATTTTTGTAGACCTTGCTTGACTTTTTGGGGGAAAGGGCAAAGAAGCAGAAAAACGGCTGCTGGGTTCTGTAGTTAAAAATCTATATTTTTAGTCATAATAAGAAGTCTATTTTGATCCATGTATGAAAAGAAACCTAAAATAAAGAGGGTTAAAACTCTTATTCTAACTCTATTATGGAGAAAGATGTTTCCCATCTGAATATCTATAACCTGAGGAATATATGATTTTAACAAAATGACAACGGGTTATAAAATTTGGGATATTTTAATCTGCGCTACCTGTACTACACTTTGTCTTGTACTTTTCCAAATGATTATACTTCTTCAGCACTGAGGTTTCTTGGAATCAATAGTAATATTTAAATTATGATAAATGTAATTTTGGACATTAAGAGGAATTGTTTCCATCAATATTGCTACTCAAGCATGTTTCTAGGTCTAGACAGTTAGTTCATTTTTTAGTTATATGTTTTGTGCAGTTAAGAGAGAAATCAGCGATGGCGTCTGTGTTGCATCAAGTGTGAATCCTCCTAGTTTTTACCCAATATCCCCTCAAAGCACACCAAAATGTTCATTGTTCCTCAAAATCAAAACTAACTTGGGGAGTTTGGACATGTCCTCAGACTAGCAAGCTACATAGCATTTCTTTTTAATTAGATGCAAGTACCAAAGCACACTTCTGCTGTTTGACTGTGAAAGCACCATGAGGCAGACATACGTTGCCTCAACACCTCAGCAGAAGCTCTAGACTTGCAGGCTTTCTTTCCATTTTACCAGAGTTTATCAGAACTAACTGCCACAGTTATGTAGCACATACCACATCTTGTTCTGTCTATGGCAACAAATTCTTTCAGTCTCTGCTGTCACCAAATCCAATCAAATCCTGTCCAATCATGTTAATAAATTAGCTCCTCTTCCTCGTAGGAAATAAAAAAAAAATTTATACTAAGGAACAATAAGTTATTTTGGTGTTGCCTAATTCTACTTTTCTACAAGATTGCTGTGCAGAATTCTGTGAAAATATTTGTGAAAAGAACTGTATTGTTTTGTAAGTGTATTGCATAAAAATCTTCTTTGTATCTCGTGATCTGAGTTAAAAATTACATTCCATATCTGCATCAATGTATACATTTCTCTTACTGCCTACTGGAACAGGTCCCATTTTTCTAAGCATTTAATTACTGTCTCTTTAAGCAAGATTTGGAATGAGAAAATTCAGTTTGAGTGAAGAAATTCAATAAAATGGCATTTGTAATTGAGATCTTCAATATTGCATGCTGGGTTCTTGTGTTTTCAGCATATACCTGAAGTAGAGAAAATCACCACCACCTTCAGTGCATTTTGAAAATACGCTCATTGTGCAAACAGGGTTTTGAGACAACACCAGCCTGATTTTCCATTCTTTTACACCATTTTTATACTGGCGTAACAGTACTGATGCCAGTGAAATTGCAAACTACTGTCCATGTGGAGCAATGGACTGAAAATTCCTGTTAAGAAAAGGTGGTAGCCATTATCTTTAAGTGATTATTGATCACTTCGGGTGCCTATAGATGTTCTCAATCATGTTCTGATTAGAACATGTTGGAGCAGACACCATGAACGTGGAGCATACTCAGTTATAATTAAAACACAGTCGCCTCACCATTGCATGCATTAAGCCCGCGCATGTTTCAAAATGGCTGCAGGGGTGCTTTATCTCAAGCTCATTGAATGAGTCTTAGATAAAGCATCCTACAGCCATTTTGAAATGTGCCTGGGATTAATACACGTGATGGTGAGCCATATTAATTAGAGTGTCTATCTGGGAGCCGCTGTAATTAAAATGCCCTTCCCCACCCCAAGCACATGTATAGGCAGCATTTAATACTAACTTGAAGTGCCCTGAATATTATGTAAAAGATGTTTATCAGTGCTTGGTCTTTTCATCACTTTATATGCAATCTGCATTGATTTCAAGAGAAAATGGGTAGGATTATACTAACATTAATTCCATGGACTGAGTTGGTTATTAACATCCATAGTAATGAAGGTAAGATATTCTCTGCCATTTGTTATATTATGCAGGTGCACTTTGTTAAGTAGAAAATGTAAAACATTCTCCTTTTGTTCTAATTAATTTAAGAATACTGTGTTACTGACTGAAATAATGGTATTTGATCTTAGAGCTAAAGTGTGGGTATATAAAAATGGTGGAGAGATGGCACCAAACAAGCAGATAGCCTTAGCTTTTTTTTAGATGTTGTTACTGCCTCTTTGGAGGTATTGTGTAATATTAATCCTTATCCTTGACAAGTGTGCTGTGGTTACATCACTCTATTTAATCCCAACAGCTAGGTCCCTGAGATGGTGGTGCCAGCTGTGAAGATGCAGGGGCTATGTTCATGAGAGTGAAAGCATTAATATAATATTGAAAACACAAAACTGATTCTCTGCAAAACATAGGCCTATTTGTCCACCTTTAAAACACGTGGGCCCAGCCCACCAACTCTCCAATTGGCCTCCTTTAATTGGGGAGGCTACAGGAAAAGGGCACAACCGAGTTGTTGAGATGAGTAATGAAAAAACAGGGAGGGGAGTGCAGGTCAGAGGTTTAAAATGAGCATGCCGAGTGGGGACACCAAGCAGAGCACACCAGGCAGCACCTCCACAAAACATAGGAAGAAGTTATCTGTCTACTTCACCCTTAATTATATCTACAAGCACGCACCAGTGGTAGACTTACTCCCTATCTTCTCTGAGAGGACTTGAGCATGCCTTCATGCTCCTAACTCAATTCACAGAGTTTCCACTGAGTGGCCAAAGCACGTCGTCTCACTGGGGATTTGAGGCTTGAGTGAATTAAGCTTCCTTAACACGGGATTTGTTGCACTGTTCATTTTTCTTACGTGAGGTGCAAAAAAAAGGGTTACATTCTCAAAGGCTTGGTAGTTTTTAGTTTATCAAAGCCTGTGCTGGGCCTCCTGATTGAACAGGTGCTAGAACTAATCTACCAACTGGTTTGAGCTATTTCAGGGCACCATTGAGAGGACAGGGAGCTGCTTGCTGCTGAAAGCAAGATGGGTTCTTTTCTTTTCCTGGAGATGTTTTTTTCAGAACTACTACCTTCAAAAAGCAACAGTCAAGCATTTTCCTTTTCTCATGATGGTCCAGACTTCCTGTTACTCTGGTAAGTGCAAATTGGTCCATTTTCTCAGAGAAATGGTGAGGATTTCTTTTTTTCTCTCTGACATTCTTGAACTCAATACCCAGGAAGCCCAGTATTTTTGAGATTGATGAGAAATAGGTCTGAGAAGTTCTGTTTATTATTAAGTATTCAGCTTCAATAACTCTGAATCAGTTAAAAGTTAACCCATAATCCTCGAGTCTGAATGTTACTATGGGCAATCATTGTGGCTTCTGTGAAGTGTTATTTTCTTTGGAGGGTGTTTGAATACTGAAGAAATATGCACTAGTCAAAGGTATGCTAAACTGATATGAACTGTCAGCAGCCATTGTACTTTAATTAATAATATCTCTTCTACCTTAGACATTGTTCATACAGCTAATCTATGCAAAATATTTTTGTTACGCTTGCCCTGCTGTCCATCAGTCCACTCTTCCAGTTTGTTTCTGCCTCACATATCTGCAGTGCCATGTCTTAATCTAAGATTTGGGAAAGGAACTTGCTTTCGCTGAGCCTACACAGCACCCAGCACGATAAGCCTCTTGACTACTTGGGACCCCAAACCACTAAAAGTTAAGGGCTGAGGGTTTTGCGGTTGACTTAGTCTAGCCTTAATATAGGATCTGTTACACTGTTTAACTTTTGTTATGGGACGCGAACTATGTTTGCAATAAACGTTCAGAGCTGCTGATTTTTATACTCCATTTTAGTTGCTGTAAAAAAAGGAGTTTAATGCTACAAGGATTGAACTTTTAAGTACTTTAAGTACTTACTAAAGGTGGTGTCAGTAAGAAATTAGCACATTTGTAGAATCCCCACTTTGATTCTGAAAGTGTTTGAACTCGAATTTTGGCTGGCATCCTTGTAGAGATTCTGTCCAGTGCTAGTCTTTTCAGTGTAAGTCAATCTGAGCACTTCAAAAAAGCTAATTCTGTATATGGACAAAGATTACTTTTTTCCATGCACCAGCCGATGTCAGCAGTATAGTAAACATTTTTTACTTTCTTCTGGCAGCAAAAAGGAAATTGAGTTACTTGAAAATCAGGTTCACAGAAAGAAATGTATTTTGCCAGGGTGTAGCTTGACAGGGGTGTAGCTACATGTAGATGTATTGTTTGAGAATGAGAGAAATGATGAATAGCCAGATTGCAGCTTTCCTGTTGAGTGATGGACCTTGCCATTATATAGGAACACGCTGCTGCAGGTGCTTCTGTTAAATTCTTTTGCTGTTCTCTTTTATTTTATTAAAATAGCATGTTTTATTTCAGCCCAAGTGGCTGTATTCTAGCTAAATAAGTCACCTATACAAATAGGCTATATTTAAGTTTCCTCAGGATACTATTTCTCTAGGTCAGTGAAAGGCTGTTATCTCCATCCTTGAAACTTTTCAAGGGTAGGTTAAACAAACACTTGACAGGCATGGTTTAGTCAGGGATGATTCTGCCTTGAGTACAGGGCTGGACTAGATGGCTTCCTGAGGTCCCTTGCAGCCCTACTTTCCAATGATCATATGAACTTTCTGAGATTAGAAGTTGTAAGTACTGAGGTGAGTGCTCTCATCAATTCCCTGCACAATACTGCAATAGCATTACTTTCAAATACAAAACGGGGTTATTTTGGTGGATCTAACATAGTATATTTGGCAAATTTACAGTTGACGGTCCACATCTTTGTTTACAAGCCATAATCTGAGATTGAGCTTTAAATCTTTAGATCAAAAACTATAAGAAATTGTTCCAAATTTTGTTTAGGTTTGTTGAGGTGTAACTACCCTACAATTCTGGGGCAGTCAGTTCCATGGGAAAAGAAGACTTAGAAAATAAGAAATGAGAACCATACATACAAACAAAATCAATTCTGTCTGGTAAACAGTTTATTTTTTAGAGGCAACAATATGTATATGTGTATGTATTAAAGCATTTTTTAAATGAATGTGAACTGAAACTTAAAAACTCATGGACAAAATCTGGGAATAACATATTTTGAATAAGATCCAGGTATTTATCTTTCTCCAACAGAGGTGACACCTGTGGAATACAAACAAGTGTTTACATCCAGTCAAATCTGGAAGGTCTGAAACTCTTTTTTTAGGACAGTGGCATCCTAGAACAGTGGGCTGTAAATACAGACAATGCATTTTGGCAACTACAAACCTAAAAGAACAGAAGAGCACTTGGAATATGGTTATTTACTTTTACTTTCTTTTTGCTATGTTACAAGTTTGGTAAGGTGGCTATTACCTTTTCTTTTCCTTTTGGTTTTCTGTTTTGTTCTTCCCTCCTCATTGACTGCATGCCCTGTTTATCATGAGATTCGTCTTTTAAATTTCTGATCACTCTGGTCTTAATCAAGCAAAGCATTTACCAGGCCATTCATGTAAATTCACCATGTATTTAGGGCCTTTTTTGTATCAGGCCAAACTGCTGGACATCTAAGATTGAGCTACATGAGGACAGAGTTCACTTTGAAACCAAATTTTCTTGGCTAAATTAGATCTTTTCACATGTATCTAAAGTGAAACACAATTTGGGGGTTTGCTATACACAGGATCGTAAATTTATCTATCTAGTAACTGTGTGTCTGGCCAAGCCAACCAGTAGCAGCTTCTTTAGCTCTGTTCTGTGTTTTCAAACTACCAGCATCTCAACAGAACATATTGTTAATAGTGCACATTACTGTCTGTACCGGCCTCCATTTGCAGCATTGGTTGTCATATTGGATCCATTGGTAACGACTGGCTGTACACTTACCTTGGGAAACCACAACCCATTCAGCAGGCACCACTGATGCATGGAAGGTCAGAGTCAGGACCTTGATGAGAGAACTTGTTTACTGACTTTGATAAAGACCTTTCCTCTGCCAGTAGGATTGTACACTGCACTGGCACAACAAGGTGGGCTATGGAGCATATGATGATAAGTGGATGGGTGAAAAGAGAACCACATATATTTGGCTTGCCATGAATCTTTTCTAACAGTATGAGGGTCCTGCCTTCATGTAATGTGGGTAATGTATGTGGGTATTGCTCTTTTGCTTGACACTGGAAAGCATAGCAGCGGGTTAGGGCATCTGCTCAAATGTAATTGTGCCTGAGTGAGCTTT